CCCCCCCCTCCTCCCTTCCCTCTCCCCAATCCCTTGTCTTCCCACTCCTCCCCCTCCCATCAACATGCAGGAAGCTCAAGAGAACAGATGATTAAAATAAAGCGTAAGTACGAACTAAGCTGCAAATGATAGATTAGTAGCATATTGCTGAAGATCTTATACAGTACAATCGTAAACGGGCTTATTCGGCCAAATCTTCCTCCTCCTTGGAAATCCATGCTTATCGAAAGCCGCCCATTGGGCGCTACACATTCGGCCTTTGTAGCTGCCGTTTATCCTATCTCCTTCAAAAGTCTCCAGTATCACACTGATATCTCTGTTATATGAGGATGTGTACTCTCAGCGAGGCTTAAATCTGTGCAAGCATGCGCGAAAATCCAGTGCCTCAACCTCGACCTTGCCTAAATTCACTTCCCCATGCTCGTTTTCCAGCTGTTTTAAATTTCTGTCCTAACTTGCAAGGTGACATTTCTAGCATTGTTTCTATCACCATTCTCAGCCTCAATTTTCTAGTCGATTATGAATATCCGTAGGTCACTAATCAGTAGCCTGTATCCTAGAGAATGAAGACAGGAAAGCAGTGCTCATTCCCTTTGTATCTTTGTGCTGAGAGATTTTATTTTAGAATTGATAATGCACTTGTAAGCACCTGAAGCAATTCGACGTGTTGCAAAGTGGCCATATGGAGGTGCACAGCCAACTGCCCATGTAGCCTTTTAGGAAGACCTTCCAAAAGTATCTGCAATTATTGAGCATTGCTTTGCAGTGCTCCCAAAGCATTTTCATTACACGTGAAATTATACGAAGCTCGTGGCAGCGATTACCTTCTCATCCTTGGACATGCCTTGATCATGTATGTACTCGCAACAGTTCAGCACTCGCTTTTGAATGTCTGAATCCACTTGCCTTAAACACAAAAGCTGATGTTATATGTTTGATAATTCATGCGAATCTTGCAGTGACTAGTTTAATCCCATGCTTCAGCTTAGTCTTGCCGTTCATGTGACATTTAGTATCTGTGTAAACTAGTAGCATTTCGGCTATAAAAAGTCTCTACAGAATGTTAATGATAGCTTGAACAAATTCACAAGCAAAATGAAATACCTGTAGTTCATATAAAATTTAATTCCATCTAAAGTATCCTGAAATTCAGTCTGATTCCGATTCATTGTTGACACGACGCTTCCCACTGAACCAACAATTACTGCAAAGACGAGCAGGCCGATCAGCGTGTCGACTACCTCAAGTGCGTCTTCCAACGAACTCATCGGGTAAGGCTACAAAATCAGTGATGAAGTCTAGCTGAACTTGGCTAGTTATGCGTTTTTGCTGTGCAGCGCTGTGGCGTTACTACAGTGACCAAAAACGCTTATTGTCCAGAGAAATGCTGTGTGTATGTGTGTGTATGAGTGAATGAACTTTTCATCGACTTTAAACTCAGCAAACAGAAAAGTTGAGAGGTGGTATTAAGCGTATTCCCAGCAAACGGGACGTATCATCCTTTCAAACTGAAATCATTTCTCATTTATGTCTGGATCTCATGAACGAACGCCTGAAAAGTATGCAGATCTTCTGGCGAGAAAACGACTTCGAGAACCAGGCAAGTTGGAAAGCTGAAATTTTGCACTGATATTCTTTGTCCATGTATGAGCTAAAGATTTCAAATTCAAATGTCGTGTACGCTTACACCACGTACGCAGTCACGCAGTCACTTACGCAGTCACGCGAAATTTCGAGTTGGTTCGGTGCCAGCACCGAACCAGCTCGAAAATCATTGGTGACGCACACCGGGCGAGCCTGCGCTACCATGCCTTTTTGCAGTATTTCATGCTGTTGTAAGATGATAAAATTTATGGCATACTGGTCCTCGAAATTCAAGAAATTGTGCAACTACGTGTACTTGATCAAAATTCCAGCTTTTTGTCTTTTCCGTTCCTCGAATTAGCAATTTTCTCGTTAAAAACTTTCACGGGGCCATAAGAACCATGCATACCTGGAGGCTGAATTTGAAACCTTTGAGTTCTATGTGGACGGAGTACATAACCGCAAAACTTCAGCCTTTTAGCTTTTCCGGTTCCCGAGCTGGCAATTTTCCTGCCAAGGCTTTCGCGTGCTCGCATGTGAGGCCTAGATGTGCGTGAGAGTTAGTACTGGTTGTGAGGCGGCATTTTTCCCGAGAATCTACTGACAAAATTCTGGAGCCGGAGCTTGCTTGGTTCTCGAGTCGAAATACCCGGACAGACGCAAACACACATACATACACACGCACGCATACACACATACACACACCGGAGTCGTCACAATATGCGTTTTTGCATTTGCAAGTATGCAAAAACGCATAACTACAATGAAAAGAGCGACTAAAATTTTGTTAGGACATTTGCCGTCCATCTAGGAAACCTTATACCTAAGTGGAGTTCCGAATTGCGCTTAGGCTGCGCCTTTGGGTGCATCATATATGGCTATTTTGTTTACCATACAAGCTGCAAGGCTGTATTTTGTATTTGCGTGTGATCTAAATACAGTTTGGAGGCTAAATTTCCTTCATGCGGACATGAAAAATACTCAGTTTCATAGCAAACTAAAGGTGAGTGTGTTTTGCGGATTTCATAATCCTCCTCCAGCATCGTCTACGTTTTCAAACTTGCATTTTCCAATGAACGACCGCTCACCGGAAAATCGACCGCGTCTCATGCAAAAAATTGATAATCATGCCCGCTGGAGGTTCACGCAGCGCCATTATGCAACATTACCATCTCAGCCGATGCCTTTTCCCCATTGTTTGCAAGCAATGAACAAAACAATGTCGACATAGTCCACGTATTAAAACACAACGCAAGAACTATTCCCGTTATTACGGATCTGACTGCTGCAAGTTTAGCGCAAAAACGCATGATTGCACCGGCAAGCCTGGTGCATTGCAGCCCGGATTTTATTAAGTCGATGGCTAACACGTTTCCTGATTCTGATAATGAATTATAATGACGCATGCCAACAAGTCAGAATCACCTTTAGCGTGTTTTTTTGGTAGCCCTTGGAAAATGAAGTCATCGGTAGCCTTGCTAGCTGATAGTTGCGATTGGAAATGCACTGTTACTACTGCTACTTAAAAGTACCTCCGTTTCTCATAGAGAGTGGTTTGTGGAGCGGGTATTTCTGGTCATCCCATAGCAAACGCTAGCAAGCAATTTGATAACTCATCATGAAATATGTTACTAACATGTGCTTTGCTGAAAAGCCGCACTGCTTTATGTCTTCAGAACAGAGGCCATTTTGATTAGGTATAGTTCATAATCTGGTGCACCACCACTGCAACTGGCAACTTTTCAATTGCTCTAACTAATGCTGCTTCCCTAGTGACGAGTCTGCTATCGATTCTGATGTTCACTTCCGCTTCAAATCTTAACATTAGCAAACTTGTTGCCATATAGCAATTTACGTGGCAAACCAAAACGGACATGTAATAATTCACCTGGTGTGAGGTAATTTGTTAATGAGAGCAACTGCTCCGATTAGAGTTGCATCATAAAGGAGTATTTCTTAAGGCACTTCCTAAATTTAAAATAAAAAAAGATATATGAGCTACATTTCTAAATGGAAACCTATCCCTACTTGTTATTTGCATCATAGGGTTCAAGTTTTTTAGATACATACTTTTGTGCTGTACTGAAAGAAAGGCATATCAGTAAAATCTCGAGTGCTACGTTATCCGGGACGCCTAAAATTTTCAGGCACAAACAAGTAAAAATATGTGCATGCATGCACACCAAACCGGTTTGAAAAAATGCTTACTTGCTGTCCTTTTGTAGTTAATGTAAGTGACGACCAGTACATTGAAAGAGCATACTCTTTGCTAAAGTTTGGAAATTTCAATATTTCTGATCTGAAAATCGATCCAATAAAGTTTTGCAGGACCATTAAATGTTTGTGTTAAAGGGCTGGCAGTACCCTTGAAGAGTGCATGGAAGAAAAAGCGCAGAACCTGGTGCTCCAATACTTCATCATTTCGTCAATATAATTCTCGCGGTTACTGATATTTTTGCCAGTCTCGTTGAAGCTGCAGTCTCTAGAATCTTCCTCTAGTGAAAATATATTACATTTCGGTATTACTGGATCAGCAATTTTCGTATAAGTGAATTGCCAGACACCCGTATCCTCGTCTAAATCAATGACAAGCAATCAACTACTACTATTCAAATATTCTTTCTGCACTACCCGACTAGCCATATTTATTAATATTGCTACCAATTCAATCTCACATGTACAGAGTACTACTACAAAACAAAAACACTGCGGTGCTCTGGCTTGAAACTATCAGTTAAATTCATCGCCATTTTTCGTGCGTATTGTTCTGTAACAGCTACATAAAACGAATATTGTTACGGCCCTGTGTGTGTGTGTGCTCGAGTGTGTGTGTTTGTGTGTCCTCGAGTGCGTTTTGTCCCGCGTATTCAACTCGGGAAGTCGTCACAAGCTCAAACGGACAGTTCCTGCGCAAAAATCAGTAACTAAAACTCGGTTAGGCTCGGCCGACTCCATAACAGGATTTGTGAAAATTTTTTCTCAGCGATAGCGGGTGGGGCTGCTTCACAGTAAGTGACGGTAGCTTGAATGTTGCAGGTGGGAAGGAAGAAGGGGATGGTGTACTGTGGGTTCCATTTGAGGCAAAGGAGAGGGTTGGGATAGGTACATTTAAAAGCTACGTGGCATAGATGCTTTGTCGGTTGGCTAGTTCACGTAAAATCGGAGGCAAGGAGAATGCGCACCAAGCGGTGCCAGGCGATCGTGCGTTTTTGCAGTATTTCGTTCTGTAGTAACATCGCTTGGAACCCCAGTTGCTAGAATTTATGACAGGCAACTACTAAAACTCGGCTCGGCTCGGCACGGCTCGGCTCGGCCGGTGCGTTCTGCGCCTCAATGAGGCGTCTGCCATCTCTGGCAACACTATTTCGTATCGCCAGAGACAAGAAGCAGTTGGCGATGTGCCAGAAAAATCGGGCAACGTTGCCCATGGAGGAAATG